GCGCCTGCTCCAGGCGCGCCTGCAGACTCTCCTCCGTCTCCGTCCCGCGGCCACGGAGGCGCTGCTCCAGCACCTTGAGTGAGGGCGGCGCGACGAAGAGGAAGCGCGCGTTGAGATCTGTGCGTTTTACTTGTTTGACGCCCTGTGTTGTGGAAGGTGGGTTAGGTTGGTTGGTTGGTTGGGTAAGGAAATGTGTGTGTTGGGAGAGGGGGGGGGGGGATTTTAATATACCTCCATCTCAATATCCAGGACGCAAATGCGCTTTTTCTCCGCTACATCTTTTACGGCCTTGGTGCTGGTGCCGTAGTAGTTCCCGCTGAACTGGGCCCATTCTATAAAGCCCCTTTCGTCGATGAGGGATTTGAAGGCATCTTTTGTTGTGAAGTAGTATTCGCGGCCATCTTGTTCGCCGGGGCGTGGGGAGCGGGTTGTATCTAATGTATTTTTTGTTCAAGGGTTAGGGGTTTTTTTTCTTTTCCTTTTCTGCTAGATATAATAATTGGTATGATAGCTGAAGGGATTGGTAAGGTTGTAGAAGGGGAGCTCGCTGCGGTGGAGAGTTTCGGTGTGGTTATGCTTACGAGAAACTGAAAGGGCAAATGTGTCTGGGTAATCAGCGAAGAGTCTTTTTATCAGAGTTGATTTGCCCGTGCCGGACGGTCCTGATATTACTACGGGGCGGAACTTGCGTACTGCTGCTGTTGAGGTTTCTTCCATGAATTGGTGTGTGTGAGATGGCGTATGCGAGAGGATCTGGGGGGTTGTAGGAAAGACGTTACCTGCAGCAGCCATTGAAAATGCCCTGGAGAAACGAATGGCTGTGGAGGTTGGGGGAGGGAGTTAAGGGAGCGGCGAAGAGGGAAGTGAGCGGGAGAATTTTAGAGCTCGAAGTTGAGCGCGGGGATATCTCGGAGTTGATATCTGTGATTTATTTATATCTTCCCTGAAATGGCTGGGTTTTGGTTTCTTGGCAGGGGAAGGATGTTTCTCCACGGGGAAACCTCAGGGAAGTTGAACCCGAGGAGCTTACAGCTTGCCACAGTCAAAGACCCGGGGAATGAAATAAGCCAGGATATGGCATTATTATTGTATCTATGTATTGCACACATCCATCAGGATGGCAAGAGTAGAAGTAGTGTGGAAAGAATACTAAGAATATTGCATAGCACTCGTCGTACCCCATTGCCTTCAATGTTCTGTCAAGCTTTTCTTTGCAAATGCGACAGCTACAGCTACATCTCGATAGTATATGCTCACTCAGATATACAATACATAAAGGATAATATGCTTTCGCAATAATCAACATCTCTTGGAGTAGAGAAAGGTCAAGACCCTCTACTGCTGTGAGAACCTAGGCTGAACAACAAAGGAAACAGATGTACCACTGTTATCAAGTGGGAGACCAAAGGTGATGAAGTGAAAAGCAGAAAATAATGGACTTGGCTTGGACCAAAAGAAACGGGAAAAAAGTGCGATGATGCAGAAGGGAAAAGTAATGTATATACATATATATATGTATGAATAAATGGATGAATATCATGTAGGCGGCGGTGTAGGAAATGCTTCTGGCTGACTCCGCCCCTTCGACTTTTTCTTCTGCGCGGCCTCCTGCTCCAGGAAATTCGACCAGAGTTCCGCTAGCGATTCTTTGCGCGTGTTTCCATTCTCCGTGAAATACTCAGACGCAAGGGATGGGGAGCTTGGTATCCGATACACGAGTGACGACGCACTGGGGAGTCTGAGGTTGCTGAATCCACCAGAAGTTCCCGGGCGGGCAAGGCCAGCTTGTTCTCGTTGCTCTGAGGCGGTGAACATGGTGACGTTAGATGGAACTTGTTTCCTGGATGATAAAAATACGGCTAAGAGGGGATTCGAGTATAACATACCATCCGTCCATCCCAATAGCGCGGATATGAGTTGCAAGACCTGGAATTTCTTCGGATCTGATCGATCTAGCGCGAGGAAATGGAGGAAGTGGTTCGTGACGAGGTGTCTGAGATATTTTTATTAGCCACTGTACTGCGTATGGGTAAAATATAAAGTAGATATATCGATAGCACCGACCTGTCCACGTTATCTTCTGGTTTGCCCTTCTTCAGAAACCTCAGAGCTTTGGTAAGGTGCTCGTTTAGAGTCACAGCTTCATGACGCAGTTTGCCAATGAGCAGGTTTTTCTCCCTGACCTCTTTTTCAAAAGGTCGAAGCCGTTCCAACTCCGCCTCAGCCTCTTCCAGTTTTCTTACGGTTTCAGTCACACCCTTCTCAGCCTCCTGTAATTTCTTCCTCTGCTCTTCCAACTGCGCATCTGAGCTCTCCACTATATCTCGCAGTTCCTGCTTTCGAGCTATAGAAGACTTGCATTAGCAACAGCGTAATGTAATTAGAGGATTTTTGTAAGAAACAATGGAAAATAAGACTCAAGAGACAAAGCCATACCAGTCTGTATTTCTTGGAGAGCCCGCTGAAGCCCATCAACCGTGACTGCCTGGCTATCACGTTCCGAAGATGCCTTCTCGTACTCGCTTTTCAAGACGACCAGCTGCTCCTCCAGGTCAACCACCTTCTCCTCAAGGCTTTCTCGAATAGATCGTTCCTCCATCGCCAGAATCTCCCAGTTGTGCATAGCTTGCTTGGCCTCCTCAAATTCCAAACGCGCATGCTCCTCTCGTTCCGTGAGCTCCTCTCTTTCCCTCAGCCAATTCTGCTGTGATAAATTCGTCCGGTTTCGCAAACTGGACAGCTCCTTAGATTGCTGTTCCCGTTCCTTCTCTAACGATGTCACGGCGGCCAATTTCGTGTTTACCTCTGTTTTCAGTGCGGCGTTTTCATCCTCAAGCTCATCGATCCTACTCTTCGTATGTGCCAGCTCCTCCTGTACAATCCGTTCTGTAAGCAAATGAAAACATAAAATAAAACAAAGGAGAAGATAACTCTCTCAGCACATAAACACAAACACAACCCCAGAGCAAACAGGGATGACATACAGCATCAGCCTTCAATCTCTCCCCCAACTGCGACTTAATCGTATTAACTTTCCCCAGCAAATTTCGAAACTGCGTGTCCGCATGCTCTTTCTCATTCCGTGACTGCTCCAGTTGCCTCTGCAAAGCGCTCATCTCCTCATCGTGCTTGGACTGTATCTTTTCTAGTGATATGCGCATCTCGGCTACTTCGGCGCGGAGGGAATCACGATCTCGCACAAGGGCATCGAACCTGGGGTTCGAATCAAGGGATTGCACATCGTTGTCGTTGTCGTTATCTGCCATCGTTGGCATTTTCTCCGTCTTTGCTTTGGCCAGAGTCTCCTCTCCTCCTTTATTGTCGTTGTCATCTTCTGAATCTGGTGTTTGATTCCCGTGAGAGCCGTTGATGAATGCCTCAGTAGTGGCCTAGGTAATTTCCAAGATTAGCCATGAACATCTCATACCTGACCTCTCCTATCTTCCATGAGAGCAACATACCGATGACGGAATTGATTGCGATGGCTGGTCTTGGTCCTGGCTGATGTGCGCGGTCTGCTCTTGTTGAACGGCTACCCCATTAGCTTTTGCTCTGGCGTTTGCTTTCTTCCTGTTATTTTTCTTGGATTTCCCGCTCGTTCCTACACGATTTTTCGTGACGGCGTTAGTCCTCTGACAGACTAGCCCGTTGGCCATTGGGTGAAATAAGAAAGGTATCTAATTACCTTGTGGTGCAGAGGTTGACGTATCTACCGGCATCGCTACGGTAATGACGCTCTTTTTTAATAATCAATCAATAGATAAGTAGATAGTTCCACTCTCTGCCTATCATTCTCTCATTCTCTTATTTGTCATCAAGGAGATGGGAGTCGGGACGGGCGGCTGTTGAATTCACAGGGAAGTGGTTCGGTACGTTCGCATGGGAAGGGAAGATGTGTTCGTTTAGCGTGCGTCTGCAGCGTCTGAATAAGTAGTTAACTAATAACTACCGCAATAGGTCCACTCAAACTGCTGTGTTTTGTCGATCGATAACCAACATCTATCAAGCCATCAGGACGAAAATGCGCTTTAACTTATGTTTCAGAGCAGTTTCAAATATAAAAACTAGGGTATCATTTGACGATCAATATTTATTTGATGTTGAATGAAAGCGGGATGGGTTTGGGTATTTCTGTCAGTCATGCTTTCGTTACAGTGGGTTTCATTGGCTCTTTTTACTAGTTATCGTCCAGCAGAAGAAGCTTGGAAAATGGATCATTTACTCTAGATCAAAGCCAATGTGAGACATCTCATGAAGCTATTCTGCTGACCGCAAGTCGCAGTTCTAGGATTTCATATTCGCTGCGGGGTCAATCTTTGAATGGAAAAGAAGACAAGGCTTCTTCACCCTCTTGGTTATCTAGCGGTTACTGATGAAGGTGGACGAGACTACACGAAAGGTTGGATGCGCTTAAAGTTGTTAGGTAATTGAGAAGCATGTAGCTACCAAAGCCACTTATATCATAGCAGACTTGTGACTGCATTCACCATAGCATTCTGAAACGCCAACGTAGGTGAACATCGTTTTCATCTATCACCCAGTCCTCTGAATAAAACTCCCAAAATATTCCATATCATTGATCCTATCCAACTCCTCACCTCACTAGCCTAGAAACGGCTTTCCAAAAATGAAAAACTCAGCCAAGTCCTATCCAGTTTCGTCTCTGCGGACATATAGAGGTATATCGATCGAAGAGAAAAAATATTTTTGAGGAGCTGTTGTAGTGATCCATTCGACATACGCTTTCAGGAAAAAATCCTTTTCCTGTAGCCATTAAAAGGGTTAAAAATACTTTCCCGCTACATGAAGTCGTCCAAAAAGTTCGGGTCCCGATCCTGATTGCTGCTCTGCTGAATATTCTCCTCATTCAAAAAGTCATCATAAGCATGCTCCTTCTGCCACTTGAGCTCCTCCCTCTTTTTCCGCTCTTGCTTCTCTGCAGCCTTCTTTTCCTCTCTCAGCTTCCGTTCCTCCCGTCTGATCTTTGCCAGGTATTCTTCCTTCTCCGCTCGTAGATCGGGGAACTTCTCAACACGAGTTTTGTTCAGGCGGTTGACGATGGGATTTTGACGGGCAGCAACATGGACCTTGCGCGTAAGCTTGGGATTATGGAAACCCACTTGGCCAACGGCCATGCCGGCTGTTTTATGTAGGTTTGACCACGGCGTGTATATTATGGTGACGTTGTCCTTTTTATTTCCTATGTTCAGATGTCCCTCAGTTATAGAGCACGTAAAACAAGAGAGAAACAAAAGGGCACCTTCAATCGAGTTTGCTTTAGTGAGCTGGGCGCAATCCACCAATAAGTCATGGGGGATATTGTCCCATGTCTCGCCTTCTCGGAGGCGGAGATATACGTGTGCACTGGATAGGTTGTCGGCATGAAACTAATGGATCGAATTGTAAGATAGTGCGCTATTGATCTTTCGCGAGATGGCTTTTTTTTCCCTTCCCTTTCTGGAGGGAATAGTTACACACCCTACAACAAACTCATCAGCATGGTTCTGTAGCTGGGCTTGAAACATGTTCATCCTGCAAAAAGGTATCTACCAGACATCGCATTCCAGGCCATACTTTATCAACTCCTCATCTGCTGAATATCAGTATCGTGGCATGACAATCTATACAGCCATGGGCAAAATTCTCATCCCTACTTTCGACCTTGTCCTTACCGACATAGATGAGTGCGGCGGATGACACAACATTTGACGTAAAGTAATAGACCATTATAAGAAAAGTTTTGCCTTTGGCGTTGAATATTTAGGTTTTGCAGCTTTATTAATAAAGCCCTCTCCCTGAACACACACACTAGCCGATCCTCCAACATACAACTGCTATAGGTTGTTATTCAGGACATCTGCTTGTCGTTTAGTATCACAGGAAATTGATTTTCAAACTGTAGGCGGATCTTGATTTTATATCACGTGAATTTGCGCTGCTTATTCATCTCAGGATAAGTTAGTTAGCGTAGTTCCGGGCTTGTTTCTATTTTTTTATGTTCATTTTGTTTAGAGATCCGTGAAAGGAGCTAAGGCCTAGGGTTAGGGTTATGACACGCACATGACCCACGTTCTGTATATAATATCGCCACTCAGTGGCCTAACCTCATTCCTCTCCTCCTCAAGGATTAGATTAGAACCAATAAGACCTCTATATTGCACTATACCGCGCTAGCTTCACCCCGGAGTCCCTATTGCAAGGCTCCTAACACTCTAATCCTTCAAGAGATATTCCGGCCAGGAAGCAAGCGTTTTTTTTTTCTTTTCCTTGTTTCAGCACTGGACCATTAGCGTAGCGCCACCATGACCACACGGAACCAAGCACAGGCGATGGACCACATCCTCGAATGTCTTGAGGAAATGGCCCGGGAGAGCGAGGCCCTGAAACAGCGCCTGGCCGTGTTGGAACAGCCAAATGGCAACCTGGACCAGCAGCTGATTGACCAGAACTGGCAGCTAATGGAATGGATTGCTGCACTAGAGAGAAACCAAGAAATGACTGCAGACCCCACCACAGATGCGGGACATGACACCGCAACAGTGGTGAAAACCAAACTAAAGGAACCAGAAGTCTTTGATGGCCACTCAGACATTCACTTTTGGCTCCTGGACATAGAAGATAACCTCCATGAGAGGTTGATCACCAATGGAACCTCAAAGATCGCATATGCCAAGAGCTATCTAGACAAACCAATACGCCAACGCGTTCAAAGACTTCAAATGTCAAATGATATGCACGTGGCTTCATGGGAGGTTCTCAAGGTCTGGCTACAGGACAACTATCAGACAACTAACCCAGAACTACAAGTGGAATTGCAACTAGCCACTCTGCAGATGGGACCATATCAATGAGCAGTCAAGTTCATTACCCAGTTTGAGACTTTAATATCAGATCTGAAATGGAATGATGCAGCCATCTGCGCCACCTTTAGAAGCAAACTGACACAGGCCATACTGGCTCAAGTAAACCAAGCTTACTTCAACATGTGGTCAACCACATTCTCAGAATGGAAACAGGCCGCCATCAGAGCTGAGAGTCACATAGTGATGACACATCAATTGGTCAAGCAAGACACAAGACACGTCTGATTTGATTACAATGCAGATAGATGATGAACAAGATCAAGATCCCCAGAACACCAGGCAAAGGGGGTGGGGAAGAACCCTGACATATCAGACACAGAATTTTTCCAATGACAAAGAGATGGACTTTGCACTTGGTGCAGCAGGTGGGGACACTGGTGGAACATCTGCTACTCCCACATTGGGCACCTGAACACAGCTCTGACCTGATCCCCATCCCCCCACCCAATGACATTAACAGCTCAATCCCGCACCATATCCCTGTCACCCAACTGAAGCATACTACCGCATACGGAGACAAGATCCCCATCTCCTCACCTCAAAGCAAAAAACTCCTCGGCGTGTCAATAGAAGTGATGATGTGCCCATCAAAGCTCCAACATGATAGCCCATTCACACAAGAAATCAACAGCTACAAACTCTTGGAACACGCCATATACTACACCATACCAGCGCCACAAACATTATCTGACATGCACATCATCAGACACCTCACTACATTCACCATGACCCCCACAATCCCAGTGATGGTAGATTCAGAAGCAGTGTCAAATGTCATAACACCAAGAGCAGCTGATGCATTAAACGCGAAGAGAATACCCTGCAAGGAAGTCCAATTGCAGGATCTCAACAATAACCCATACAAATCCTTTCCATACATATATGAACTACAGCTCCCGGACCCCAGTGGAGAGATAGTCACACACTACTTTCGACCTCTACAAATGTCAATGCTGATAATATTAGGCAGACCATGGCTGAAAAAAGCAAACCCAGACATAAACTGGGCAACAGACTCAATCACATATAGGGGAAAGAGAGGGCGAGAACAAATCAAACAAACCACAGAAGACAACACAGATCTCACACCACTACTAGTGTGGCTGCAAGCGGGCACCAAAAGCCCACCTCCAACCCAAGTACCCGCAGAACTAAAACAGTATGCAGATGTCTTCCACAAACCGGCGGCAGACACCCTACGCCCCCACTCCAATTCAGACCTTCAAATCAAGATCATGGATGGGAAAACTTTGACCAAATGTCCACTCTATTCCATGTCAGAGACAGAGCTCCACCTCCTCAAGACATACATTGATGACAACTTGGCAAAAGGCTTCATAAGACCAAGCAAATCTCCATACGCATCCCCAGTCTTGTTCACAGACAAGAAGGGAGGACAAAAACAATTCTGTGTTGACTATTGGAAACTAAATGCAATCACCATTAAGAATCAGTATGCCATCCCTCTCATCTCAGAACTGATGGAGCGCCTCAGCCTAGTGAAATGGATAACAAAGCTTGATCTACAACATGCATACCACCTAATCCACATAGCAGAAGGTCACGAGCACCTAACAGCATTTAAGACCAGATACAGCACATATGAATACCTAGTAGTCCCATTTGGATTAACAAATGCCCCAGCCCATTTCCAAGAATTCATAAACACAGTATTACAGGAACACATAGACGACTTTGTCATTGTGTATATAGATGATGTAGTCATTTACACAAAAGAGGACAATCAGGAAAAGCATTGGGAACAAGTCAAACAAGTTTTACAAAAACTATGACAAGCCAACCTGATATGCAACATATCTAAGTGCCGATTTCTGCAAAAGGAGATTGACTTCCTCGGATACTTAGTAGGGAGAGATGGAGTATGAATGGATCCAGCATGAGTGGAGGCAGTACTTCAGTGGCCAAACCCGCGAACTGTCAAGGATCTGAGGGCATTTTTAGGCTTTTGTAACTTCTATAGGAGGTTCATATACCACTACAGCCTTATATGCATACCACTCACAACCCTGCTAAAGAATAATGTCATATTTCAATGGACGGAGGAACAAAAGAAAAGTTTCCAGACCCTCAAGGATGCCTTCACAAAAGCACCACTGTTGGCATTCTATAGTGATGATAAACCAATCATCATATTCTGTGATGCTAGCGGATTTGCCATCAGTGGAATTCTGTGTCAGAAGCAGGATGATGGTCATCTACATCTCATAGCATTCTACAGCAGGAAAATGACAACAACAGAAAGGAACTATGGAACATATGATGCAGAGATGCTAGCAATTGTTGAATCCACCAAGCACTGGCACCATTTCATACGAGGAAACAGAGTTCAAACAACAGTCTATAGTGATCATCACAATCTACTGCCATTTCTTACAATCAAAATCCTGACCTGTAGACAAGCACGATGGGCCCAACACCTCAGTGAGTTAAATATCAAGATCTTGCACAAAGAAGGCACAAAGAACCCTGTGGATGGGCCCTCTAGATGACCTGACTACAGACCCAAACCAAAAGAACTGACAGAACTCCATAACAAATTCCACTGGTTCATCGACCCAGCCCAAACCAACCACTCCCAATCCCAAATCAATACCCTCACCCACTATTATGACCAGGCTACAACACTATTGTATAACCACAGAATGGCAGCCATTGCCACAGTGAACATGCTCCTGATCAAAGCAGCAGACATGGACATACTGACTCAAATAAAAGAACAACTACCACAAGACCTAGAGACACTGATCCCACTCCACAAACACAATCACCTTGAGAATTGGGCAATCCAAGATGGATATCTCTTCTACCAAGACAGGATCTATGTACCAGATGATCAACAGCTATGCAGAAACATTCTTCAGCAGTTCCATGACTCACCAACAGCAGGACACTTTGAGGGAAAACAAACATTCCAATCAATAGCACATTGGTTCTACTGGCCTACCATGAGGAAAGATATTGAAGAATACACACAAGCATGTGAAGCATGTGCACAAGCCAAACCCATCACCTGCAGAGCATTTGGGGAACTTACTCCAATCCTCATACCAGACATGAATTGGCATACAATCACAGTAGACTTTGTCATCAATCTTCCCAAATTCAAATGCTCCACAAGTGGGCAAATAGTTGATGCAATAGCAGTCTTCTGTTGCAAGAGGTCAAAGAGACCACACTACGTGCCAACTACAACAGACCTAACACCTGGAATATTTGCTCACATATTCATTGCCAACATCATCAGACTACATGGAATGCCAGCAATAATCATCTCAGATAGGGACCACCTCTTCACATCAGGATTCTGGAAGGCCCTGGCAGCTATGATGAACATTAATCACAAGCTATCCACTGCATACCATCCACAGACAGATGGACAGACAGAACACCAGAACTGAGAACTAGAAACATATCTCAGACTATACACAGACTATTTACAGAATGATTGGGCAGACCTCCTATCATGGGCAGAATACACATACAGCAGCTCTACCCACTCAGCCCTAGGAAATATCCCCCTTTATGATGGATGTCAGATACCAACCCTTACCACCAACCATACCAAACATCCCAAGGGAAGTCATAGAGGAACCAGACGCGGAATGAGCTGCAGTACTGACAAAGGAAGCTCAGCAAATTGCCCATGAAAAGTTGATCCACTCACAGGACTTGATGAAACAGTACATGAAAGACAATCCCCATGAATTCAATGTAGAAGATCAGGTGTACCTGAACACAAAAAACTTGAAAACCCACTGGCTGAACAAGAAACTGAACAGTAAATTTGCAGAATCATTCCAAATCTGAGTCAAGATAGGACCACAATCATACCAGCTGGACCTGCCATGACACTTTCAAATTCATGATGTCTTTCACATCTCATTGCTCAAACCGCACAAAATGAGCCAAATCAATGAAAATAGACAACACACTAGGACATCAGATGAACAGTGGACAACCAACAATGACAATGACTGGGAGATAGATGAGATTCTAGATTCCTGAATCATCTGCAGCAAGCTGAGGTACTGTGTCAGGTGGCAGCACAAAGAACCAGAGTTTGATGAATGGATGGATCTGATTCAGCTACTCAATGTGAAGCCATTCCTGCAACAATACCACAACAGATACTCAACAAGACCTCAACCAACAGACAAAGACCTAGGGCAGCCTCAAGAAATCCCACCAGCAACAGAGACACAACCTGGCATGCTACCACCATATCAAACAACAGTGAGAGGACTGTACAGATACACAGATGCAGATCAACCATGACAAAACTCCTCATTTCACATGAATGTTCAACTCAGAACAAACTGAAAAGACAAAATGATATATCTTACTCTTCCACATCAATACTTAATATTCAATATATCCCCCAGCAAAACCCAATGAAAAAAAAATCAATGAAAGCACCATGATATACATCTTAACTCTTTTAATATTTTACCTTAACTTGTTGTAGTATTTGAAATCTTTTTTTAGTTACAGGAGCAACACAATTTGACACAAAAAGCCCCTTCTCAAAATTGCTTATATACACCTGTGCAATACCCAACTACAGCAAACAGGGCAGGCGAGGGTGCTGCTGATACTGGGGCAGGCGCAAGTGCCGCCAGCCAATCACAGGGGCAGGCCATGTTGCTGCCAGCGGAGATCGCGGGGCAGGCCATGTTGCCGCCAGCAGAGATCACGGGGCAGGCCATGTTGCCACCAGCGGAGGTCGTGGGGCAGGCCATGTTGCCGCCAGCAACAATACCATCTGAAGTGGGGAGGCTGGAGGGGGGAGGTGCAGAGTGAAAGGAGCTAAGGCCTAGGGTTAGGGTTATGACACGCACATGACCCACGTTCTGTATATAATATCGCCACTCAGTGGCCTAACCTCATTCCTCTCCTCCTCAAGGATTAGATTAGAACCAATAAGACCTCTATATTGCACTATACCGCGCTAGCTTCGCCCCGGAGTCCCTATTGCAAGGCTCCTAACAATCCGTAACCTTGGGACAACAACCTAGATTGGATTTTATATTGCCTCTTTTGTAGATTATTCCATTCATCTCTTTGCTAATAGAATCCAGGGCCCGTAAGGTGTATGTTGTTATTGTGCATAAAAATTCCAGCATATACCCGCCATCTATTAATATCGCCGTTCGATCCGGCTTTTTAGTCTCGGGCAATTTAAAACCTATTGGCTTGAAACCCCCTTCTGGGTTTTTGAATTGGACCCCGAAGGATTCGATATGGTGAAAACAAGATCCCTTCTCTTTAAATCACCAGAATCTCTCGCGTCAATGAAACACCAATGACATCAAGGATGATTCTTCAAAAGAGCAAAAAAAAAATCTCCTCTTCCAAAGATAACGCAAACACGGCTACCCGAGTATTGTTCTTGAAATCGTGTTCTGTTTCCCCTACGCGGCTTGCGTAGGAACACACCACTTATTGCCTGGCTCGATTCGCCTCTGGACCGGAGAGCATAGCACACTAATAGAGACCGCGTAATTACCTCCTGAGCGCACCATGATGAAACTGTGCGGCATATGCGGCAGCTCGGGAACTAGGTAAAAAGCATGATCATCGTGCAAGAAGGTGCAGTTGCAGCGAATCATTCCCTCACAAGGTGCGAAATTTTGCTCAGCTTGATCGGAACTTGGGCATTCTTGCGCATTCCATTTCAAAACATTTGCCCAATTGTGTGATGCTTCTCATTTCAGATATTAAAAGTATTCTAACATCCATGGATCAGTCTCATCCAAGCTGGATGTCCAGATAGTGTGTAAGGCCGTACGTAAACCTTGTACAAACAATCAAATACCTCTCTGTTTTTATATCATAAATGCCACGTAGTGAGTAGACGTTCTGTATCATCTCCTGCTGGTGAAACAAAGAATTGCACCGAGATGATAAACCAGGGCGGGTGGCCGGGAATACTCCGAAAGTTAAGAGTTTTGCTGCCTTGCGAAGGTAACTTCGTTCCTAGAAAGTGTGCCTGGGTATGTAGTTACAGGCAAGAAAAGACTAAGACAGCCCTCAACTCAACTCTCTTTATGCAAAAGGTGTCGGAGTCCTCGGCTCATACGGAGTACCGACAGTGATAGACCGTTTGTATATCTTCATGTCTTTCCTTTAGGGCAGATCGCTCAGCCAACCATGGGATTAAAGAGCTATGTGCTCCGTTTGACGATTCCGCAGGTTATGCTCCTTAGCTAACCTCTCACATATCGACCAATACTTGCAACGTCCAACATCCAATGTCAACCAAGGCAACCCACATTATTGCACAGGTGTGATCGAGTTCCAGCTCAATGATCAAGTTGCCTTCTTCAATGCACTGCACCTGTTGGTATTCTAAGCTTTGGACATGATTGGCGTGTTCCTCTGAAGCTGGTGGAAAATCGCTAAACGCGCATTTGACCTCCAGACCACCCTTACTCTGATGACATGGCTGCATCAATAATAAAACTGGACGGTTGAGTTGTGTTGTACCCTTAAACACATCTCAAAAGGATGTATCTAAGTCAGATGCAAAACTTGGCTCATGAATATCCTTGGAAGACCTCGAGTCGGTGCGTTACTGTGCTGGATACATTTCTCTCCAAAACGCGCTCCTCGGTTTCAAATCCGACGCGTAAAGGCTGGGCCATCTCCACTCTCCGTCCTCCACTTCTGTGACTCAATACGTCAGACCACGCCAGAATAAAAATTATTCAAGAAATGAAAGGCGGCGCAGAATTTAAAGCAAAATATTCCTACATGTTTGGCTTTGTGGAAGAGTGAAGGGCAGCCTTAAGCGAACAAGAAGGCGACAAACGCTTGACATGATCGCACGGAATAGGCAGAACCAGATGTGATGAATGTCTGGGACCAGGTTTCCAGTTGCTTGGGCCACTTTTCAATATATATAAAACTACTGTCTGACCCACCACTGGTCTATTACCAGAGAACCAGTCCGCTGCAGTGGTCCCTGCCTGAGAGATCTCACCAATTTAGTTTGGTTGGCACGCGAGCTTACATTTCTGAAAATGCAGTTCTGACTGCTATTGCCATCGATTTGCATCAAAAACACAGCATTTCGCCGCGGACATCAAAATCACTAATGCACTACTCACGCGGGAGAAGACAGGGCCATCTTACCTCAAGCATTCGCGGCGCAGCTACACGTGAGAAAAGCGGTTGCAAACAAATACACACCGTCCATTTACTTACTTACTGGTAGACAGCTATTCTACAGTAACTAACGGGGATGCCTCAATGCTATCATTACCTTCAATAGTCACTCGATAAATGCCCATATCTTGGGCGCTTTCTCTGATTGGAACAGCCCTAACAACATCCATTTGTTAGTCACACTAATCACCATGCCAGTGTGGATAATACTGGTAAGGTGGTTTAATGTATTTGCTGACCCACTCGCCACTTGGTGACATTCTGAGAACCGTTTCAAATAACGAATCGGCTCTGATCCCATGATCACCGGCGGGAAGAGTTCTGTTTTACCTAACAAGGGGAAGAATTTGAACCAAATAGGGCAGAGGAGAGAAACTAATTGAAAGAAATTCTAGATTAATACTAAGGATGGCGGCCTTCGGGGATTGGACGTCGGTTCCCCAATTGCTGATGCTGATGCTAAAGGGGACTGGCATCCCGGTGGGAGGGGGCTCTCTGCATTTCCTGAAGCTCCGCATTCAAACTTCTTGCATAAAGGTTAAATGGCTCTGAGTGAGCAACTGAAATAATTCAGGGATCGCTTCGAGGATTCTCATCTTTTATCCTTTCTGCAGCCAAACGACTAGAGTGAGCTTTTTCCTGGCTTTCTTTTAACTTTTCCTTTTCCTTTTCCTTTTCCTCTTCTTTTCGCTTTTTTCTTTCTTTTCTTTCTTTCCTTCTTTCTTTCTTTCTTTCTTTTTTTTTGTCTCTAGAAATAAATTTAAAACCCTTCACTTCCCTTCCAGCAAGCCTTTCCCTTCTCCTATTCAACTTCAGAGCTAGAAACAACTCAGCTTTGCAATGACGAAGAACGCTTCCACTCCAAATCCAGAAACAATACGAACGGCTTTGGAGGAAGCCAGGAACAGCGAAGATGGCCGTATCGACCCTAGGATGATCTCCGTTCTCGAAACAGCTATTAGTGAAGTCTGGCGCAAGGTACAAGCGGAGCCCGATACATATGTTTTAACCCGTGCCGAGTTTGCGCTCTTCAACTTCTTTCTCATCCGATATCGTGGCCCAGTTGCTCAGCGCGCTGTGGAGCGATATTGGAACAATTTCAACAGACAGCCCCTGGAGATTGTATCTGGAAATTAATGCCACACATCGCACGATATATTCCCCACATAATACACCCAAATACCACTCTCAAATCCTTCAGACTGCTGGCCTTCGATCGCCCTCGAATTTCCTTTATGACCAGAGACCTTTGGCTCAAAGACGTTTTTTAGTTGCAAATCTTCGCCCTAATCATTTATACCTTACTTTATTTCGCCATTCCGCAACCTAGATCTATCAAAACGGTGCTATCTGGCTAATCAGGGGCCTCACGATTCTTTTGTGTCCAACCGTCTCTTACTTTTCTTTCCAAAATGTTACTCTTATATGTCTTGTACGCCGTGATTGTGATTTAATAACTGGTTTTATTTTTTTTAATTTTTTTTTTTCATTTTTAGCTTTTTCCGTGGCCAAAATCCATTCGGAATTTTTGTAGAGGCCCACAATTTTGTTACAGTTGACATATTCTCCTAACTCCGTTCGTTGTGTTGAGCAAATCTTCCTGCGCAATATCATTGCACCGTTTTTCTACACCACCAGTATCATCGCCAGAATACCTCCCTCATCCATCGAATGTCATAGATCGCATGAAGTTATTTCATTGGCGAATCGTTTTGATTCCGACAACTAACCCATTCAAACATTCCGGACAAGGAGATTGAATGGCGCATTTCAAAACTGCAACCATGTTTTCCTGAGACACATGCTTCACTACATACAGGTACCCGCGGAAATGACTTCTTTAGTCAGCGTCAAAACGGGGTTATCAACCGGCCTGGGATTTGTTCCACAGAGGTCTGCCACGGTGTCAGTGAGCGTGGTTCTCGTTCAAATACCCTGAAACTTCGGTTTGTTCGGTATTCCTTGACAAACACAATTGCGCAGATGAGATTCGTCGTTGGAGAGGTCTCCTTTCGCTGCGTGAGCCCGTCGATACCTCGGTATACAGAAGTTCCCCTCTGCCCGGTTGCAAGAGTTCGGTTTGGGCACGGTGGTATGAACAAAGATAGTTGTGTGGTGACGTGTCGGGCATATGACGAGGGCTTTTAGGCTAGTCTCTTTCACCGATTCTCAAATATCATGACAGAGCAAGTTCTCTACAGGGTTCATCTGCTACATCTTTCGCCCTTTTGCAAAAGTGTCTGCCATAATTCAGCTGTTGTTTGTATTTGCTCTGCTTCCATTCATTGTTTCTGGCTATTTTGTGCTCTCCACGCACAAATTTGAGAAATTTCCGCATACAACAGCTTCACTTTGGCTATATAATGTTTTCCTCTAGACCTCAGCTTCATTGCTAATGTTTGGCCGCCACCAGCTATTACCTACCCTCTTTATTAACTCCTGTCGTCACTATGGTACATGTCATCTTGATTTTTAACATAGCTTTCACGAAACCTAATGCTGTGCCATCATCCGGGCGAAGGCAACTGAGACAGACCCGCTGTGCTCAGTGCCCGAGAATGCACCGCATAAGATTTCTCCGTTGTTTTATCATTGGTCGCCTCGTTGGCGACTTCGCCTCAACTGTCCAACAGCATCCCTCACAGAGCAGGGCAGGGCAGGGCAAAGCTAGCACAGCAGCATATAAGCCGCAAAACCCTCCGTCCAGATTAACGCTTAGAGAGCAAAGAGTTTGACAGTAGTTCAAAACTGTTACCCGTTGCTTTTTCTTAATTTTTGTTTACTTTGGGGAATATTCTTGCCATGCAAATTCGGCAGCCCGCATTCCTGGGTATTTCGGAAGTCGTCCAGACATCAGCGATCCTAGAGTTATTTATCGGGTAGTTACCTACTCCTAGAGATGCATAAAAAGTGCACGACGGAATTGCAGTCCTCGCCGCTCTGGGATTTTTCGTCTGCGGTAACTATAACTACACAAACGAACAGGCAAAAAATGGGCTAACCGGTGTCTATTTCCCTTTTCAACAATCTGAACCAGTACTTCCAATGGACAAAGCATGCTATATTATTATGTCTCAGTCATGAGATGCCTCTGTCCATGACTTAATCCTTGCAATTTACGGGCTTCAGCTTTGACTACTTGAAGCCGACCGACTTCGTGCAAAATGACAGGCAATTGGAGGATGGAAAAGCCTGACTCTGCATATTTCCCCCTCTACGATCCTCCTGGTCTCGCTTGCAACGCTTCCTGAAACAGCATAATGCATGCGGCTTCTACTAAATAGTCCAGAAACTTTCTGAGGTCGGTAACCACCCACCCGCTTCTTAGCTAGTTACCTTGTCGACCCACTGCTGGCGTTTTCTTTCTCACCTTGCCACGTGTATGTCAAATGATGATCAAGGACGCCAACTGCATGCTCCGGTGCGAATGTTGGATTGCCGCCTCTAGGTTATTCCAACAACTAGGTTCTGATGATATTGATTCTCAAGAGGTGATAAATCACCTTGTTTAATTTTTGCCCGAGGTGTTCGCTGCATTTTTTTTTGTTAACCCTAGTAGCCAGCGATGGGAATCGTTGCTTCGGTGTTTGTTTGGAATCTCTTTCCCCCCTTCCCGTTTCTCCGTTTCTTACGATCTTCTTCATTTTTCTCTTGGACCCAGGAAGAGCCATTGATGGCAATTTTGAGGCTAAGTGAGCTTGGTGCTGAGACATAACGCGGGGGTCTCCTTGAGAGTGAGTAGGAATTTCCCCTCCCCTGCTCCAAGAGGATACGCCACCTGCTATGATATTTTCTAACAGTATCAAAGGATCCAACGGTCGACAGAAGGACTGCGGGAAAAGTAATTATTTCCCCACGATGAGGGGGATGATTGATATAGTTACTGTCGACGAAAGTCTCACTGCATATGCATCGTGTCAAGAAGTTCGGCGATTTGGGTTCGTTACATGATTATTTCAATTAACTGTCCATCGCCCTTCATCGCGATCACCCCTGTTGCATCATGAGGAGTGAGGTAATCCGTAGCAATATCAGTTAGTTAACCGTCCTCACTTCTATGCTTCTCTCTGTCTTCAGACGCTCCTTTTTGGCCTATTGTTTCTTTACATCAATTTTTGCAGTGGTGATGTGCGGTGATGAGAACGGCTCTCTAGAACTGCGTTCCGCGTATTTCAACCACTACAAAATGGTTATTTCCTAGTTACGTCTTAGATGTGCGAACGATACGTATATATACATGGAAAAGCAACCCACCTCTATACTCACTAGAACAAAGCGCCAAAAACATGTCAAGGGCACATCCATAACGTTGTACATGCAGCAAATGCTATTCCCACCACTGACCAGTCAATCGGAAGCCCAAACCGCACCGATATGCAGGGGGAAAGCCATATATCGGGCCTTTCTACTTCATACCCTATCCTTACATATGTATGCATGCAGGTATGCTTAGGCATCTAGACACTCCCTTACTTGCCTACGTAGTAACTTACTCAACTATTTTTTTAAAGGTGAAAGGAGTGCACTTGACAGGAAATGACCAGAGGGATATCAAGAGATCGTACACCATGATAGGCGTTATTCTTCCTCACACACCCCCAAATTTGAGCTACATCTCTTTTATTTCAAGTTGTGTTGATTTGTTATCAGTGATGAATACACTTGTAATTTGTAGGTCGGACCTTTTTATTCAATGAGCGACGGGGTAGATTCTTTTTTCCGCTGTGGAGCTGCTCTTTTGGAACACCAAGAGCCCCCTTTGCGCACTGCCATTGAGGCAAGGGATAAAATTTGAGCTGAAATTCTGTAAAATATGTGGGTCAATATTAAGCTTAGAGCGCCCGCTGAGTGGGGTATAAAATATCGTACATGGACATAGCATGAACAAGATGGAGCGGGGAAGGGGGGGAGATTCGTTATGAAACCGTGTGGAAAGGGATTCTGACAGTGACATTTAAAGTATACATAGAGAGAAATCAAAACGATAACCAAGAGAGAGAGAGAGAGAGAGAGAGAGAGCGGGAGAGATGCTCCGGCTTTTCTCTCACAATCCCTCCCACCCTTTATCGACTTGTTGAAAGAAAGAGATCACTTTTCCAACACCATTGATCAATGAGCGGCTCCATCGAAATCCCTCGTTTCCTGGTAACATCGTACAGCTGGTGAAAGTTGCTCTTGCATCACGAAGCTGACCTTCCGATGCCTATAATGGTTTTCTCTTCTCAAAGTACATATCAAGAACAAAGCTTAGACTTTCTAAGTTTGGAGAAGTATTCCGGGTTTGAAAATGATTCGATCCAGTCCTGCCCCTGGGAACAACTCGCAACAGAAACCGGTCCCCTGAATCGTAGTGCGGAAATATTGGGCGGGAAGTTCTTGTCAATCGTGAATAGGTGATTGTTATCTGAGAACAACTCGCCTACTCTAAGGACGAGAGTTGTCAATTCTGGTAGTGTTCGAGGAGCTGGGGCAATATAGCTTCATTAGTGTAGTGGAAATCGCACCCGTTGGTCGAACGTATATTTATCGTCTCCAGTTTCCACACACCAATATGAGTGAGCGCCATCATCATGAGGACAAGTGTATTCATGGCGTCGTGTTCTAGAATATCTAATGTTTTCAAGATTGATCTGTTCAAGATCGACGTCGATTTGTTCCACCAACACCTCCCCCTTATTGTGCTTGCTACGCATCCAGTGCGTAACAAGTTCTGGGAGACAAACTAATGTGATTTCCCGCTCTTCCGGAGTTCCTTTGTGAATAGTTATGTACCGCTCTTCTGCGTCTCCCTTTAATATAGCTTTTGCATTCTCTTCTTGAAGTTCATTGCTCGAAGGCCCTTCAAAACGCAGACCCGAGGTATGCAAGACGATTAGATGTTTGACGTTTCGCTCCAAGCACAAAGGGCGTTAGAAAAATTTCACCACATGCGCTGTTGAGCAGCAACCGTTCGAAAGACCAGTGTTGATGTATTCCCTTATCCCTTAGTTCCTCGTTCCAGCCTGATTCATTTTCTAGATCCATCATGTTGCTAAAATAGTTTCCTAGAAGGAACTATTCCTTTTCCAAAGGAGAGTTATTGAGCTGAGAGAGGAGAGAGGAGAGAGGAGGTTACTTATCATCCGTGGCGTTTGGACCTTCTTGGATTTTGAGAATGACAGTTATAGCGGTAGCTGCAGTGGAATATTGTCCCCTACTCTGTGGGAAACTAGTATGAATCGGTATATAGCGATCTTGCAAAGATTCTGCAGGTGACAGATACATACGGAAACCCACGGGTTGACAAGAAGTCAGGCTCTTACCACGACTCAAAAATAAATGCTTCCAAGCCCAGAGAAAATATTAACTGGCAGAAGGTCAGAAACGCCCATATTTAACTACCCAATGTTTATGATATTATAACATGATTGCATGGGGATGCAATGCAACGGAGCAATTTTGACAATTTTGATCCCCTGTGACTGGGAGGAGGTTGGGTTGATATTTTTGCTGGAACGAAATGCAACCTCAGCAAAGTCACCTATCTCACTCAAGCCGCCAACGGATGGTCGCTTTTTCCGATTAACACAATCAAGAAAAACAGGAGTGAAAAATTTTGTCCCAAAATTTTATTGGAAGCAGCAGAGTCTAGATGCTCTTTCGTACTTTGTTGTTATCTACTAGATATACAGTTAATCATGAGACATTCAATCAAACCTATGTGACAATTGAAACCTTAAGAGGACAATAAGGGACGACGAACGTAACGAAACCTCCTATCGATGATATCTGCTAAATATTTCCCTAACCAATTTCTCAAATGAACCATGCTCACTGTCGCAAGAATAAAGTTGGAATAAGGAGAGAAGAAGAAATAAAGGTCTGAAAAAACATTTCATCAATGGAAAGTGTCATATGTACGGAGAGGTAAGAATTTTTACCACTGCCTGGAGTGAGCCTCTCAAGCAGGGGGACTGGGAAAGTCTGTAGGCCCTTCTGTAACAACAGTTAGTAAACGAAGGAAAAATGTATGAAAACTAGAAATTTTACCATGTCTCGTGTAGAGCTTCCGTTCGACTTCATCGAATTTTGCCTTCCCACTTTCAACATCCTCTCGCGTAATACCCAGACGAGACTTAGGGAGCCCCATCGACAACAGGAACTTTACTGTATCAGTCCATTCAACATTTTTCCGCTTGCTATCCCAGTTCAGCTCCTCTGCCATGAGGTCAATAATGGTTGGGAGAGCTTCAAGAGAAGCTTGTGCGTTCAAGAATGCCAGTCTAGTCCTCCGCGCCAAAACGTCCACAGCTGTTTGTGCATATTCAACCCGGGTAGCATAACGGACCTCACCATCGATAAATGGGTATGGCGGCGAAATGCGGATTCCACGCACTGGGAATCGAGTATTTGTGGGCGATGACATGGCAGCGACCTCCCACGCACGATCACCGTAAGCCTGGGCGATATATTTAGCGACGTCTGTTGCTAATCCGAAGTATTGGATGAGGTTAATGAAGAGAGTTTTCGAATAGCCATGAGCGCCAACCAAGCGAATCTGATGGGTCTGGCAAGAACCGTCAAGGGAAGCTCCGTCGTCAAAAAGGCCTCTTCCGCTAATGTCTGGAACCTTTCTGTTGGGCCGTGGTTGTAGATGGAACACTTTGATAGCTTCGTCAACAGCTTCCTCGGCCATTCGGCGATAGGTTGTCCACTTCCCACCAGCACAGGTCAAAAGACCAGATTTGGACACTGTTATGAGGTGATTGCGAACCAGAGACTCTGTATTCTTAGCTGCGGGGTCCCGCACGAGAGGCCGGATTCCAGACCATGCCGCAAGAACATCTCCACGTCTCACATTGATGTCCGGGGCAAGATACCCCCGAATTTCATTTAGAATCCAGTTTATGTCAGATTCAGACGGTATAGGTTGGGGAGAGATTGCGGAGGGGCTGTCAGTTGTTCCTGCAATTGTGTTTCCCTGCCATGGAAGAAAGAAAATGACACGCCCGTCTGAGGTTGCAGGGTCGATGAGACCCATCTTAGCAGGGCTATAGTATCCCGGTAGAACAACATGAACCCCAGAGCTTGGAGCAACTATGTCCATCGCACTTTGATCATCCATCTTCCTAATGGAATCTGTGAATGGACCTGTGGCATTGATTATTCCCTTAGCCCTGACGGTTACTTCTTTCGCATCGTGTCCGCTTTTCCCTGGAATCAAGTCTTTGGCAATTGCTCCATTGAGCTTTCCTGACTCATCCTTAGTTAGTCCCGTTACTTCCATGTGGTTCACAACAGTAGCACCATATAGAGCAGCGGTTACTGCCAGGGAAACATTCATTCGAGAGTCGTTGTGAGCACCATCTAGTATATGCATTAGTTTCGTTTTAACAAGAAGCGTTTCCGGTCTTGGTTGTGACATGATCAAGTTTTACCATAGTAAACCAAAGCTCCGACAAAATTATCCTTTTTCAACATAGGGAAAGCATCCAGAGCTTTGCTTTTGTTGAGGAAATAAGAGCTCTCAATACCCTCAGATCCAGCAAGTAGATCATAGAATTTAGTTCCAGCCCAGAAATACGGTAACTGCCGCCACTTTTGCACTGGGAGCATAATCGGGAGCCACATTGAGAGGTGAGGGGCAGTGTGGAGGAAATACTTGCGTTCCCGTAGGGCTTCTTTAACGAGAGCATATCTACAAAGGAAGATCAGCAAGCAAAATTCCCATCAACGACGGGGCAAAAAGGCACTCTCGACGTACTGATTGTAGTCCAACTGCCAAACTGCTTTTTCCAGATAACGAACACCGCCGTGAACTAATTTTGTACTCTTGCTACTCGTTCCAGCACTGAAATCGTCACGCTCAATTAGAGCTACCTTTAAGCCACGAGAGGCGGCATCCAGAGCTATGCCAGAGCCGGTTGCCCCGCCCCCAATGACAAGTAAATCGTAAGGTTCGTTTTCATCTGGTGCGTTGGAGCTCTGGGAGCTTGAATATTTTGCCAATTCCCCAGAAAGCAACTTTGTGGCGTTTGTCTGTGAACTTCGTTTCAAGTCCTGAATCTGTTCAGCGCGGCTTTTGACACGCGGAAAACTCGGGGGCACTAGCTGTCCTCCATCACTATAGGACGGTGGTGGGACCGCCGCTGGGTCCGACCCGGGTAAATTGCGTGGGCGGTATGAAAAATAGAGGATACCTCCTCCTCCGGCTACAACAGCAATTGTATAAAATAGCGGCTTCAGGATCCGGCGTGACCGTGGACTAATCATGCTCTGGCAAATTCAAGAGGTAACGGCTTTGATAAACCAATATACCGCAGATCGATTTTGCACACAACAAAAGAGGAAATCTAGAACTGAACTGGGTAAACACCAGAGTAAGTAGACATACACTTTTACACCAAGCCAGGCGATGATAAATCAAGAACCTACTCTCAGCCTATATACCATGCAGATATCAAGGGCTGCTGGAAATAGGTGTGTGTTATAAATAGAAGTTGCTCTCAGAAGAAGCACACATGAGCTGCAGGAAAGCAGACTAAAAAAAACCCCAGTGTAGCTGTGGAATTGGGGACTATTAGGCGGTAACTAAATGAGAGAATGTAAAAGAAGTAGTTAACTAGCTAGTTATATCAAGTCTGGATAGTTATCAGTTACTGAAATTTCAAAAGACAAAAACCAGGTTGGTGACGATGACAATTATGGAGCGGCAAACTCCCCCGCCGCTTACGGGGAACTTCTTGGTTGACCTCATTAACCTTGGATTGACGCCAAAGGTTGCGTGCAAATACCCAGCAGCGGCCAGCCCTACGCCCGGCCATTGCCCGGGCTTCACTAACCGGAACAATCATTCGCCTAGCTAACCAATCACCATTCAAACAGCGCTTTCTAGCCGCGCGCTACTTGGTTAGCAACGTAGGACGATAATATACTCCACGATTCTCTCTTTTCTGATCTCAAACAACCTTTGGAACCAGGTTCAATGTCCATCTTGATGCCTCCGTTCAGCATTTAATTCGGCATTCATTTGGTTCAGATATTGCTCAGTCTCTATCGGTGGTTTCGAAGTCATGGATGCATCAATAGTTCAGTTTTCCCAGATTAACTTCCTTTTCAGTTGATCAGTATTTTTGTTTCGTCAGCAGCCCCAGTCGAGCTCTTCAAGACGTACATGCATTCGCTGGATAAGCGGTTTGTTGCAGAAGGAGGATTCCTTATATGCCAGAAATCTCCCTCCGTGATCCATGTTATCTAATGCCCGAGGGAATCCCTGATTATATGCCCAATCTCACTCCGTTTGATCGACCTATTCAAAAATCTTCGTTCCATCATTGTCACCCATGCACAGAGGTGATATTCCAAGGGTTGCCCCGATGCAGACAGATAAAGGCGTAACGGTATATCTTCATGCTTCATGCGAGCTGCCTGGTGCGACACTTTATCCTTCCATACCCTCGAGCAATGCCCTAATATACATGCAATCTGAGGCTCATTGTTAACCGGGTATCAGGGGACAGAAGGGCGAGTTTAAGCCATTCAGGTGTTTACATCCTCAACATAGGATGAAGAAGGCTTCTTCTTGAAGATTAATTTTCCCCTCGCCTTTCT